AAATTATTATTAATATTTAATATTAAAATATATTAATATATTCAAATTAATAATATACTTTTATACATTTTTTCATTGTTAATTTATTATACATTTTTAATGTATTGTTTTTTTAATGTTTATTGTATTTTAGATTTTTGTAATGTAAATGTATTTTTTACTATTAGTATTAGATATTTTATTTCTTTTATAACGTATAAGAATATTACATTTATAAATGTAAATATTTCATTTCTAATTGTTGGTATCTACTTATAGAGATTTTGTTTGGAAATTGTGTATTATAATTGAGCAATATAATATAACAGAGTATATATGGAAATACATAAATCATTCATTGAGGTTCATCAGCTAGACTTGCATTAACCGCAGTTAATGATGCTTAACAGTCATCTGCATTAGTCTTCAGTGCAGTCGAAGCTGAGCCGCCCCTTTCATTGTGGTATTTTTGTTTCTGACTTCTGCAGAATCGCATGGAGGAAAGCAAAGCGCTGTTTCGCACAATCATCACCTACCCCTGGTTCCAGAACTCTTCAGTCATTCTGTTCTTGAACAAGAAGGACCTTCTGGAGGAGAAGATCATGTACTCTCACCTGGTGGACTACTTCCCTGAATTTGACGGTAACAGCCTTTTCACAAGTTTCAAATGAAGCCTGCACTGACACCATGTGGTAGACTTGTGAACTGCAACCACTTCCAAATACACTTCCATAGCCTGTTTTGTCTCCAAACTCTCATTTACCCACTCACAGGTCCACAGAGGGACGCCCAGGCGGGCCGCGAGTTCATCCTGAAGATGTTCGTGGACCTGAACCCGGACAGCGACAAGATCATCTATTCGCACTTCACCTGCGCCACAGACACCGAAAACATCCGCTTCGTCTTCGCGGCAGTCAAGGACACCATCCTGCAGCACAACCTCAAAGAGTACAACCTAGTGTGAGAGAGAGATCGAACGAGAGCGAGACACCTGCAGCCCACACACGGCCGAAAGCACTACACACCTCACACGCAGAAACACACCTTCACCCCCTTTAGGCACTGGATCTTCACATAGTCCTTTTCTTTGCCTGTTTTCTCCTCTCTTCCTGAGTGTCGACCCCTCCAGCCGATAGCTTTATCATCCAATCTTCCTCAAACACGAAGGCTGGGCAGTTAAACCGGTGCCTAATGACAAAGAGCATTCGTTTGCTCTGTAGATGGGCTGTAGGTGGGCTCTACCTGAATGAAACTGAGGTACGAACTTAACGGAAACCCTTGGTGGATCGTCCGTCTGTAACGAAGAGTGGGCGACATTCTTGAAGGACTTCACCTTGCATCACTGAAGTTAACCAGGTGTTAGTTGTGCAATCACATGCTATAACACTAGAGGTGGAGGTGATTTGATTTAATACTATTTTAGGAGTGATGTATAGAGATTTCCCATCACTACTGGAGAAGAGATGGCACACCATGTGACTTTTTCGTAATAATGAGTAATGAAAGCCACCAGTTTTTTAAAAAAACGCTCAAATTGCGTTCCCGAAATTGTTTCGAAAAAAAAAACCCAGTTCGCTTGTGTATCCACTATAAATTTATCATTCAGGCAGTGAACTGTTTCCTCCAGTCTGATGTTTGCCAGTATTGGGTGTTTAATCAGTATAATTAAAGGGATCCAGCTAGTATTCAAAGATATTTACCGAAAGATTGTGATTTGTTTACATGCTTCGTCACATCAGTTTTGAATCTTTGACCGAAGGAATCAAATAAACGCCTTTCCTAGCCGATTCATTCATGTTTTACTCAGTATAACATTCAATATCCAGTGATTTAAATGTTCGTAGACTCGACGCAAAAGTGCTATATAGGGTGAAATCCATTTAGTTTGTTTTATTTATGTAATTTATGGACCAGATATGTAATTAGTCTGACTCATTTTTCCAACTAAATTTTTGAGTCTCTTCTGCTGTAAAAAATCCATTGGCAAGTGATCTTTTCTTTTTGGTATTTCGTAAATCGATTGTCGCCGTTCTGTTCTCTTTTTTTTTTGTTTTCCCGAATATTTGAAATGCTTGAAAATGGAGAGTTGAATTTCCATTTTTATCAACATCGCTTTATGCAAATAGGAAATTGAGAATTTTATCAGTGGTTGAATTCTTAACTGGTCTCTGCTTGCGTTGTTTTTTGAGAGTTCGCTCTTGGTTTCGTAGTACCATATCTTAGTTCTCGCTTAATTTAGCTTTTTGGATTCCATAGCTAGCTGGCTTTTTTGGGGAGGGGGGATCTTTATGATGTAATTCAGGTGAGTTTTCATACTTTTCATTACAAGGGCTAATTGTGGGCGGAGAATGAAAGGACTCTATGAAGATGATAGAGCAATAGGTACGTAGAGGAATCGGGGACAGCGTGGGTGACGCCGCGGGAGTTGCCGTTTTCCGTAGGTTCAGCTTGCAGTGCATCCAGGGAGCACCTTCAGAGATCTTCGGAAAATGTATGCTATTTCTTGCCGCAAATCAAACGACTTCGAATGGGCTGTTTTGATTTTGTAAGTTTAGGAATTAAGAATTCGGTGGCGGTTATGTCACATGTTTCCCTTTGCCATGTTTGGTTTCGGGGGTTGTGACGGTATTGCGTTTGAGTCCTGTTTACTCATTTATCGTACACCTATTTTTTTTTTTCTTTTTTTTCAGCCGACTGGCTATGAATAGCACTCGTACAGTCTTACTGGTTTCGTTCGTATTATTGAAACAACATAGCTTGAGAGTAGCTGAATTTGAAAAAATCACGAGATCTAACGTAATTATTTAGCAAAATATTTGAATCACAATGGTCACTTATTGGCGCGATTTAAAAAAATTTTAACTAGTAATTGAATGTATTGTAGGAGGATTCTTTTTTTTTTTGTGATTACTTTTGTGAATTACTTTGGAAGTGTAGTTTAAGGTGTATACGCAATTTTCCCTGTATATTTGTTGCGTTTAATTAATCCTATAAGCCTTCTTTACGAATACATTTGGACCTTTTAGTGCATTTTACGAATTGTTTGCCAAATTGTGAACTTTTTTTTTTTTCTTTGTTTAACTAATCAATCCTCCCATGCCAGGCCAGTTAAGCTGCTTTTTTTTTTTGGATAGTTTTTCAAACATCCAGATTTGCATACCATCATTCTTCTGGGCGTGGCTTCACACTTCATTCATTTTAAACTGTGTTTACTTGGGTGGGATGGTACTATCTAGGGCTGCACGATAAATCGCATGCGATATTTAACGCGCATCTTGTCAGTAAAGCCATTCTGTAATCAGCGGTAAATCTCCATCACGTGCGTGCTTCAGTCATCATATACCAATTTCAAACCGTTTCGTTGTTGTACAAGTAGTGGACCTGCAAATTTACGATGGCATTTTTGAACACGTGAACGTTTAAAGCTTTTGTACATACGGCTTTCATTTTGAAGGGCTAGTTCTAATCTGAGAAACACCTTTCTTTATCCAACAGAAACACTACAGCTAGTCATTTCGTACCAATTAAGTCCACAAAACATCAGAATACGTTGTGCAGATGGTATAAGTAGCTTTAATATCCTGTTTAGCTGGTGTTTAAGGTTTTCTTTGGTCGTTCTCAACCATTTGTGATGAAGTTTGGTATGTTTTTCCTCCCTGGGTTAATGCACTGAACCTACTCTGCAGTAATGGAACGAACTCCACTCATGTGATATATCTGTTCCTCCAAACTTGTTCCTGGTACTCTGAGAGATGCAGACACTAATGAATAGAAATTACGCTTTCGCTTGAGGTCCACACTGACGTGATGGATGCATACAATATGAAGCTATCTTTACTTTCTTTTTTTATTTCTGACGTCGATGCATTACCTGAACACTTGTATGTAGGACACTTTAATATAATACATTTGTTTTTGATAAAACAGCTAAAATAAACTTTTGTGTAGTGGTGTATAAAATCAAAGTATTGTATTACTTTGTAATGTATTTCTTGTTCGGTTGGTTGCTCTTTTTTTTGTTTTTTTTGTTTTTTTAAGCATACCAAATGTAAATGATGTACTATATTGAGTGTGCCAATCCCTTTGATTTGTAGAGCCAGACTCTTTACAAGTGCCAATGTTGTGGAAATCATTTAAAAAGGACTTGTGTATTTTATGGTCCGGTTTTTAAAAACAAATAAACATTAAGTATGTGATTATGGTAAATGCGCTACAGGAAAAGGACAATTTTATTCTGTATTTAAGATTAAAGATGACAAACTGCTGTTTTTAAAAGAAATTACATTTTAATTGCATGTGTTTGTTTTCGGCGGAGAGGGTCGGGTAAAGGAGAAACCGTATTAACGCGAAACCCTGCTGACAAGGGGCTTAATTATTGCTCATTTACAGTATTTTAGACATATTTCTCTTTTTGTATGTTTCATTTCAACCACTTTTGCCTGAACCTCATTCATACATGAAAATGACTTTCATAGCCTTCTCCTTTAATGAAAAAAATATCCATTTTAAATTGGAATAAAATTTGTTCCTATATGTTTGCATCTGTGTTGAGCTTTTATTTATGTCCTTTATTACAAGACAGATGAATAAGGTAGATGGTCCTCCTCGTAAAACATGTTCTACATTAAGAGTCCTGCTAGTCGTAATGATAACCCTCTCTTGTCATAAAGAGTTCAATAATACATGACGAAATTATTCTTGTGCAGCACAGAGATCGTATTAATATAACATAACTTCAGCTACAAAGATGTCATTAAATCTCATTTCAGCATATTTATTAGATGCTGTTTTTAATGTTGAGATTTGATTTGAACATCAGAAATGTGAAGTAGGTATTTCAAAAATCTTTGTTCATTATAATAGAGCAGAATAATCCAATCAGATTTCAGTCATTTGTATTGATGCTGATGCTGGTATTATTTACATTTCTTTTTTAAACATTTGAATATATAGATGGATAAATAAATAGATTTTTTAAAAATTATATAAAAATATGTGAGCTGTTTGTTGGTGCTGTTTTGATAGTTGCATATTAAAAATATTTATGTACATTAAAACATGAAATATAAAATTGTAGATATTAAAAATAAAATTAATATATACAAATATTTTATATATAGGTAATGTTATTAAACAATATATATACAAATATATGAATATTTATTAGAGCCGTTTGCTGGTGCTGTTATTAAATTGTTAGGAATTAAAAAGTTTTATAAAAATGATTTATATAAATAGGAACAAATGTAAAATATTGTATATTTTTATATATAATTAACTTTTTAAATATAATTTTATATATATATATATATATATATATATAATGAATGATTTTACTGTATTTTACATATACATTTAAATTGTACAAAATTAATCAATTAATACACACACACATATATATATATATATACAGTATATTCTGTTTGCTGGTGCAGGTTTGATGTTGTTTATTAAAACTGTATCAAAGTTAGTATTTATCTAAATGTATGTAAACTTATTTTATATAAATATATAATAAAAAAAATTGCATACATACAGAAAAAAACAGCAGCAGCAGCCATCAGCTCCTAAACTCCACTTCATCTCTTGCACAACCACTCGATTTCCTCCAACCAGGGAGGAGAGAGACCCCAGCCCTTGTCTGCGCTCATTCCCAACGTGGAAAAGGGACAGGACAGACACCATATCAATCCGACAGATTCCAGCAAATCATCACCCACGGATCATTATTTCTCCATGCCGAATGCGTGTTAAAGAGCGCGCTCAGTGCGGCACACATCAGGCTGCTTTATTGCCATAGCAGCGGCGCGAGCTGCCTGTAGCTGTACAGGAGCCTCAGCTAGCGACGGAACAAAGAACACACACACAAATATAACCGTCTGCTGAGCAAACTGCTTCCCTGTTATTTGAGGAGGAGAAGGCAAGACCCCGAAGACCAAAACTGACATGATGTTTCCACAATCCAGGCACTCGGTGAGTGTAAATCGAGCGGTTTGCTGGCGCTGTGTTGATGTTGTTAGCTGGTTTGAGCTTAGCATAGGCAGGAGAGGCGTCCGTGCAAGCGTGTGTATGCTGAAACTTATCGCGAAGATTAAATATTTATCATTCATTTTTATCACATCACCCTTTTATATTTCTAAACTACACGTTTTTACCTTAAAATCCACTAATGTGTGATTTGGCAGTGTTTGCAAATGGGAACAATGTAAATGTTGTGCGCCTGTGACATTTAACAGTTGGCGAATTGTGTATTAATGTATGCAACTTCAGTCCCAAAATCTCCCAATTCTTTTGCGTTATTTTACTAACCATTTATATATGTTTATTACTCTGTAGTTTACAACAAGGCATGAAATTATGAGGTTTAAGTGCCAAATTCGTGTTTATGTTGACATCTTTCAGGTTCCATTAATCTTTTCTAATGAACTCTCATCATTTTGCCAATGGGGTGCTAAAATTGATGTTAACTAACACTACAATCACACTTTTTGAAGAACACAAGCTGATTTCTTTTTTTCTTTTTCTTTTTTTGTAAGAACAGCAAGACTTTTGCCAAAAACCCAAGGTGTAAATCTGTAATGACATGCATTTGCATTGTGCAAGATGTTTTCCCTGCAGCGAATCAGCTGTGTGTGTTGTGCACTACCTTGATCTTTTAGCCAAAGTACAGAGAGTCTGTATCACTGCTTATGAACTCGTTTATGGATTGAGTTACACATAGCGAGTCGCTTCCTAATCAGCCCAACTAATGCTGTAAGTGATTAAAAGTGGGTTTGTCCTATTCCTAGACTGGTTTGAATGCAATAACTCATCACATGTTAAGTTTCTTGCAGGCTGTTGCTGATTAATGAGCTAATACGACAGATATTTTGATTAGGCGCTCTTGATTAAAGGCGTATGGCTGGAAATAGAAGTGAATTAGATGCCACTGAGCGACATGATTTGCTTTACAGAATTATTTTGTAACATTTGATCGCATCC